GAGTATGCAAGTCAAAACACTCGCATTTTGTTATTAAAAGATATACTTTACTCCCCAATGGCTGCATTTTTTTTTTTATATCAGGATTTCCTGCTGACTTCAAAGCAGCTCTCAATTTCCTTTGGTTTTTTAGCTATTATCAAGAGCAAGAGTGAGTGAAAATAGAACACTACAAACAGAAACTTATTTCAAAGGCCTGGGCTTTATCTTGCAATAGATCAGAATGAACAGAACTCCCATCAAACTCTGTGCCACCCACATCATTACAGATCTTGTGAAATCCTAATATTACCACCTAGCTGCTATCATAAGGCTTTTTTTTTTTTTTTTTTGAAAATGAAACTGGGCCCAAAGAGTTTTGCTGCTGATTTTAATGGGAATCTAATCCACAACTCTTGCAAATAGGACTCTGTGGATTTGCCTACCACTTCTGTGTCCCAGGAGTATGTAGGGCAAGGAGGGAAGAGATGAGAATAGTCTGTTGTCGACATGTAAAACCAATCCTCAGCTAGAATGAACTGCCAGAGCTGTATTATAAAACTATAGTAACTGACACTCCTTGAAGATGTGCCTCAGAATTTCCATGGAAAACTTCTAGACAGCACATGGATTGGGAGCCTGCCATTTTTCAGAGCAGTATGCTTGTCTCGTAATTTTTTAACTTTTTTTATTTCAGTGTTATTTACCTACATATCCCAGGTGCCTGATAAATGGAGCTGTTTCCTTTCTCCCATAGTCTCTTTTTTACTTCCTGATCTTGCCCTCTTGCATGTTGGACTAATAACCACCTGAATTTTGTCCTTGTTTAAGCCCTTTCATCAGAGGAGCTCAAAGTAGCTTGCAAACATTAATTAAAAATAAAATAGCCTGAACATCTTCAAAGAGCTGTGCAGTCATTAACTAATCCCCACAGCATGCCAAGAAGGTACTAAAGATGGATCATTAGACTTGTTGTGTACACAGTACAAGAGAAGCGCAGAGATCAAGGCAAATACTTAAAAAAAAAACCCACTGCATAAACATCCACTAATTTGGGGTCTTGTATTTTTTTTTCATTGCCCAAATTGCAGCATTTTAATGACTTGCTCGAGGCCTCACAAAGTCAGAGATGCAGCTATAATTCAGCAATTCCCAGTATCCTGCTACAATCATTAAGTGATGCTGCTACAACTCATTAAATTATATGGTTCTTGTCATGGAATTTATCTGTTGTGTTGTGCTTAGCTGGTATAGGTGAAAACAGTGTTCATTATTGTTTTATTAACCACTGGTTTGTTTTATATAGATATTCATAAAATAGTAACTTTTAAGAACGATAACATACAGGTAAGCAAGAAGTGTTACAGGTATGTTGTACAGTGCTGCTCTGCACAAAGATATACATAGGTAATTAGTACAGTATCTTGATGTACCATATGTACCATATTCGATGCCTCATTAACAGCACAGTATGCAGGCATTTGGTGCATCATTATTGTTACGTGGTGACTAGGGCAAAGATGTCAGGCCAGGACACTTAATGGATATTTCTTTTAATAAAGGGGACAGAGATGTGCAGGTGTTTCAACTTACCGATAGGAAGAAACTACTCTTAACAATTTAGACTAAACGATATTTGGCACCTATAGCAAAAATAAAACTTGTTTATGAATGTTACAGCACAGTCATCCAAATTGACAACAATTTTTGAGAAGAGAATCATATTTCAGAAGATCTATAAATAAATCAAGATTAATTAAAATTGGTCCTTTAAAAAAATTTTCTTTTCTTAGGCTTCATAAGAGTAACACAGATATCTTGTGCTTTTCATATAATTGAAATTAACTGAAATTTACTACATATTTTAAAAACCATTGTGGTAATTACCATATTTTTGAGTGGCTGCATCTAATTGTTGTTATCACATCAACAATTCAGATCACTAATTAGGTCACTGTGGCATCAGAGATAACAAACCAGTCACGAGCCTCCTCTTATAGGTGCGCTGCATGCAGACCAAAGAAGCTGGACCTGGCTGTTAGATCCTTCCCTATAGATTAGGGATTAGATTCCCTATAGTTCAGTCGCTGCTCTCAACAGGATCTTTCTATTTAGATTTGAGCTTATGCATGCAAGTCACTGGTGACAGCTTACCTGTCGCTGCTGAGGCGCTGCTGAAAGGGAAGCTGGGGCAACAATAGAGTAATCATTCTTAAAACACTAAAATGAAGAGAAGTTGAAATTTGAGGATTGAGTTTCTCCATCCTTCTTCAGATAATGCTAGTCTTGCAAACACAGTCCTCTAAATTAAGCCATTTTAAATTAAAAGCCAGATTCACTAGTATATGCTAGCTAAATTACATTTTATGGAGATAAATTACTTTTGAACTGTTGGAAAATACTGTGGAATAGCTTGCCACGTGGGTTTCTTGTTAACGCCTTTTTGTGAACACTAATAGGTAGTTTATTAAATGACAGTTGGGGTTCTTGTAAATATGTAGTGGCTTTGCTACTACATTGTGTGCAGTGTCCTTGTTACTGTGTTGATTTTCTAAATGTTTCTTCTGTGTTAATGTTTAGATTTGAGATGAAGGCATCTCTTAGAATGTAATTAAAGATGGATTTTAAGCTTTTGTAGATGTGACCAAAATATATAGATAAGAGAGAAGTCTATAAAGGAGAGGTTCATGCATCTGCCGGTTGCTATGCCCCCTTTGCCATGGATCGGGCATGGCTGAGTTGCTTTAGTTGATGATTACTGAAGTACGTGATTTCTTGAGCTGCCCTTACTGTTAGAGAAAAAGTAATGGAATTTACTGTTAAGGAATATCTGTCTTAGAGATGTTTTTCTGTGGTTCTTTGAAATGAGCTTCCCAACCTTATTTCCTGAGCATTGTCTAGACCTTCCTGAAGAACGATAAGCTGGCTGAGCATTAGAATTCACAACCTTTCTTGGCTGAGATGCATTAAAAAAAGAAAAAGGCAACTCAGCTGTTAGTTGGACATGATAAAAATGTGAAAAATTTTTGGACAAATGAAGTACCTTCTAATAGTAGGATTAGAATTCATGGCTTTACAGGTTTAGTATTTCCATTTCTTAATTAGAAACTCTCATGAAACAAACTACAGAAAACGCCCGTAATTACTGCAAATCACAGATTCACAGCCTTGCTAATAACTCAAAGCAGATGGAAAAAAATGCAGTATACAGACATTACGGAGCAAGAGATACTTTTTTTTCCTTAGAAATAGCAGAGACAGATTTTCAGCTAGTGATGCTGTAAGACAGACAGGGTTAGTACATTTTCTTAGGAGATGGAAACCTTTCTCTTATCTCATCTGTACAAAAATCCATTTCAGAAACAGAAAGTATTATCTCTGTTGATTTTAACACTGTTGGGCTGTTAAAGGGCAAACTACACAGTGAAAAAGCAAAAAAAGACAATACAAAGGCCCCAGATTCTTCTACTTATGAGTTCCTATAAGCTAGAACATTTTGCCTGATAGGATTAGAAAAATTAGTGAAAGATGCAGGTCTCTCCTGCAATTAGCATTCTTGAAAATGAATTTATAGTTATGATTGCATAAGTGACCTTTCTGTCTGTGGATAAAAGATGGATGTTACTGATATCATTTCTGATGGATACATAGTAGGGCCCCAAGAGAGTGAGGTCCAGGTTGCCTTATTTTTTCCAGATCTAAAAGGTATTAAAAGAACAAAGTTGTATTAGTAGGAAGATAGATCAGATAACCTAATCTGTCTTAACCTGTTTCAGTTCTGTGATACTTCCCTTGGAATAGATTGGGGCACTGCTGCAACTTAATGAGCATTTCCTCACCCCTAGACAATACTGAGGGGGTACATTCAGTAAGCAGGTGCCAAGTCCATCTTCTTAAATGATGGTGTGCTTGCTAATGTTAGTGTTAAATTTGGTTTCATAAGCACATGGCTTCATAAATTACAACCTTACTAACGATGGAGTTAGGGACAGAACTTCCAGAGAGGAGGCGTTATTTAGATATTCAAGGCCAGATATCATGTCAACAAATCACTACTGCATTGCCTACCAGTTAGCTTGCAGGAGTTCGTGCAACTGACTCAGGATTTTTATTTCTAAAGAATATAAAATTGTCATCTTTTTATTCTAAATTATTCTAAAGCACCTCCTGACTAGTGTGATAAATTGGAGACAGTATTTACTGGAAGGGGAGTAGAGAAAGTTAAGGAAGTACAGGACAGAGTGTAGACTGACTGATTGAATCCAGTGCATTACAAACTCTTGAGAACTTGGGGGCATTTTTGGACAACATCTTTTTGCAAGTAAAATTAATGTGTCAGAATGACGTATTGCGCCATCGTTGGGATACTTCTTGACAGAAGTTATACGGTCCTTGGAATTTGATACAATGAGTACCAGTTGAAACATCTGCCTATCTGCTGGACTGAGTTGCAGATGAAATTTTTTTATGAAACTCCCTCAAAATGGTAGTTTGACCTCCAAAACCAAAGGACTCTATTTAAAGCAGATTCTCTTTTCCATACAGAGTTTAACTTAAGCTGTAAAAGAAGGGTTTTGCTCTCCAGACCTGACAAAAGAGCTGATCTAATCCTTCCTTTAGCTGAACAGCCTGAGGTTTGGTTTTAACAAATTTCAGTCTTTGCCTTATGGTACTGGAAAGTAATGAGGATCAGGCACTAGTTAAGAATTTCTCAAACACTTATTTTGAAAAACTAATGGGCATTTAAAGCCTCTCAAATAATGTGATGCTGTTACCGCAGTTCAACTTACTGGCTTTTCAGTTAAGCAAGTGGATACTCATTTGAGTTACTTAAGGCTACGTGAGCCTTTTTAAAATTGCGTATTTATATTTCCCTTCAGAATAAACTCAAACTCATATTGTTATTTCAGTTTGGTGTAAATCTTCTGGAATTTTAGGGATGTTCTTTTGAAATAATGTACATCTTACGGTATGTGCTCAGGAAAGAGTTGTGACTATAATACAGACAGTAAATTTAGACTGCTCATTTACATAGCTGTTTATTCACCTGATGAGTCACAGCATCAGTACCTTCATTAGTCACATGAATTTTAACAATTAAAAAGATTCAAATGGTAGTTTAATGACAAAGAATGAGCCTAAGCTTCCATTCAAAACCCTTGTCTCTGCACATTTTGGTTTGGCTCAGTTGACACATCTCTACTCTGGTATATCAGAATGAGGATAGGAAAAGACTGTATTTGGACTTCTTTCAATGAAGGATTAAGCAGTGTGTATAATCACGTTATCTTTTACTGTCTTTATTCCATCCCCTTTTTCCTAGGCTAAAGAAGTTTTGGTTTGCGTCTTCCTGGCAGCAGTAAATTTGCAAAGCTCCTACTGACAGACGGAACAATGGCATTTTACATGTTACTTCCCACATGAGGTATTCCCAGGAAATAATTATATAGGAATAGATACCTTTGTGGACTGGAGCCATAAAGGGTAGTGAGAAATTGGGCTAGCCAGTACCTGTCATGCTGACTCGCTCTTCTCATTGTTTCCTTGTACTTTCTCATCCACTTGTATTTTTTTTTCACTCTTACAAGTATATTCTGTCATTCTGTTCTGCACACGACCAGTTTTAACTTATTTTTAAGGCAGACACGAATATTTCTTTGCTGTTGTCTATTAGGGCTTGGGGAGTTTAGGATGAGTTGCAGAGCTCAGAAAATGAGATTTCATTGGTTTTGCCCACTTTAATAGGAAATAATATACACTGCATTTTTCAAATTTGTTCTTTTGCCACCATTAACTGCTGGCTGGAATAGGTCACTACTTATACCCTCTGTCCTTAAAGCAGCTGTGGGCTGTGCTTACGTAGTCTCCCAGTACAGCGTGGCTCTTGTCCACAGCTTGGTCTCATTGGTACTTCTAGCCTGAAGGACAGAAGGCTCCACTAACTTTCCTGAAGAGAATTTGTAAACTGCCTGGTAAAGCCAGAAGACTCAAAAGGAGCCAAAACAATTGGTGGCCAGTGAGGGGGAAATTAATTTCTTTTCACTTCCATTCATGAGGCACCTGTGAAACAGAAATACCGCTCGAACTTAAGAGACTGAAGAGATAGTTGTAGATACTTTCTTTTAACAAAGTTGGGGTTTTGTCCATAACGTAAGAGTTAAAACCTAACACTAAAATAATTGTTGAGAAAGCCAGTGTGCTGATTATGTTGAAAAGCTAACCATGTAAAAATGCACAGCGAAGACACCCAAAGCATCTTAAGCTTGCTCCCATAGCGATACCCTGAAGGGAGAGTTTTCAGTCAGTCCATACATGGGAAACTGAGGAAGCCAACACTGGAATGTTTTACTCTGAGTTGTGTAATGGCATTCCAAACTTTGCATTTCACATCCACACCCGCTCCAAAGGAAGGGGAAAAAAAAAAGCTGACATAGAGGCTCTAGGCCACTCCTCTGCAGTTTGCAAACAGGAAAAAGAAGGACTGGTGGCATTTCTGCTCTCTCTGCTACTGTCCGTTTAGAAACAATACTTCACCATAAGGATACTATGAAACTGGAACGTTTCTCCAGGGACAGGAGAGGAAGGAGTGCAGCTGCATGATGCAGTCACCGTATTCCCACTTGCATTCGGAAGCTGTGGAGGCACTGTGTCTGCTTGGTTCTCCTGGACTTTCTTGATTTTTGCTGACCCTTAGACAAGGCACTGCCTTGAATCACAATTGAGCGTGTATAATCCTCAAAACACCAGAGAACCCTACTATAGATTAACAGAGTTTGAAAACCTGCTGTAATTTGTCCTGACGTCAAAGTAATCTTTGTATCACACCTCACTCCTTGAAAAGTGTTACTTTTATTGATGAGTCAGTGGTTGAAGTGTAATAAATACTAGACCAACCTTATCCATCATATGCAATGTATCAGTTAGCTTTTTGGCCTCAGGAAATGTGTGAGCAAGTGACCAAAACAGCTTCATTCACAGTTGTGCACACAAATCACCTGGATTACAGTCCACAGCTTAAATGATGTGATTGCAACATCACAGCTTAAATGATGGGTTATGAAACTTCATCGTGGGATTTCAGGTATATTGGCTTAGAAATCTTCCTTAACTTTTCCTGGTGTCGCAACATACGGCCTTGTTTATGGGCAAGACCCATAGGAGGCAGATGGATCTGGAAAAGAAAATCCCACCAGTTAGGTGCAAATTGAGAAGCTACAAGAAAAAGAAGGCATATATACAGACTAGGTTTCACTGAGTTTTAAATAATTTCTTTACACTTTGGAGAGGGCAACTGTACTGTCTCAAACCAGGTTATTAGATTTCTAGGAGGAGCGCTCTCTGAGAAGTGATTAGTGGTGTAACTTTCAGGCCCTAAACGTTGTGTTTAATAAAGTCCTATATATTTTAGGCTTCAGTAACCTTGTTTTGTAGCTTGATATCAGACTGTAATGATAAAATACTTGTTGAAATAGGACTGCTGACAATGTTCCAGAACAGTAAGACCTAGAAAACTCTAAAAATTCCTGAATAGATGTCTTAAAGCAGTGTGCTTTATTCATACCTAGCTAACTAGTCACAAAATAACCCCAAACTATATGTATTGAAAGACTGCCTTCTTATTGTCACAATTATGTATACCATATTAAAATGCACAATGTCATTGACTCCACAGGCAGAAGGAGCAATAGGTGACAGGCTCTTCCTTTGATTGACAAAGTCTTTATATTTAATAAGACTGCTAGTGGGAGTCATGCAGCTATATCCCCCTCTAAGTGATTGAAAAATGTAGCTGTTAGCAGTTAGATGTTATTGTTGCTGAGGCTGTTATCCTGTAAGATAGCTGCTTAGGTGCAAATAGTAGTAAAAGCACTGACTAAAGCATCAATAGAGATTTCTAGAATCTGAAAAATAACGATCATCCAGTTTGTGTGAGAGCACTGATCTAGGACTGATCCTCTGGGATTTTGAAGCCGCTGCACAGCATAGATTTTAAGCCCATTTCTAGGAGCATTGCTTGCCAGATGTGCATTGTTATTCTGTATACTGGAGAAAAGAAAAAGCTGTATGTGAAAGAAATGTAACGGTGACCATATTCTAGGCAAGCATCTGATGAAGATACAATTTAATTTTGACCATGACCGCCTTGATAAGGAAACTGTAGATGTGAAAATGTAAACTAATCAACAGGAGTAGAGAGGAAGTCTCTATGGGAGGCAGCATAAAGTACTACAGACAGAAGTGACTGAGCAGTGAGGAAACTATATTGAACAGCGCAACAGAAGACATTGCTGCAACTTCCAGCATTTCAGTAATCTTGGAGATGTTTTTCTCTAGGAACAGGGGAAAAGAATCATCAGCATAGGCAGGTGTTTCATAAGACCTGATTTATGACCAGAAGAAGAGTTACCAGTAATGTAGGCTATGAAAACTATTGTATCTGTGGCAGATGTAATTAAGTATTTTTAGTCTCTTTTATTATGTGGAAAGATTAACAGATTTGATTCCATTACCGTCTTTTTCTACATAGTATGATTCATTGGTCGGTCAAGACTGCCTAAATATTCACAGGCCTTGGGAGTTTAGCTCATGCAACTCCATTTAGGCTTTGACTCCTTATTTTGAGAAGAAATTAGACGATTTACAATGAAATAAGATGGGAGAACATTTCAGTATACATTTGGCTTATTTGGCTCTGATTTAGCATAGCATTTAAATACTGGATTATCTAAAAATGCAGTGTGGTGACAGTGATGTGAACTTATGGTTCTATTGTCCAGTGAGAGCTAAGCGGGTATAGCTGAAGACTTTGTGACTAGACTTATACTCACAGGTCTCGGGTAGGGGATGTTATAGTGAAGTCCAATTTCTATTCTTGCCTCACATTCTTCTATACACTGCTTAATCAACTTTGGATCTGTTACCTAAGATCATACAAACAAATGTTTTGTACAAGTACAGCAATTAGTAATTGGAAGCTCAAGCATAAATGATGCACAGCCACATGACTTTCTTTAGCTTTTTTTGGCAATCCCAAGGATACAATTACTGTATTTTTCACATCCATAAAAGGTAACATTAGTATTTGCCTTGACTCAACAGTTCTGGGCTTGATGGCGCTGGATATTAAGGCCCAGAGGCTGTCACAACTGAGGCTAAAGAAGGAGGTTTTTACCCAAACATGGTATTTTCTCTGTAAAAAGACAACACACATGTAAACTGCTAATACATCCATGAAAAAGCCACACTCACCCATTTGTTACTCTGCAAGGTAGCTAGAAGAGAAAGGGAAGAGACTCCTTGGTCTACATTCTGTTATCATCCTATCCAGAAACTTCCTTTGAAGTCAGAAACGTGGTGTAAATTGTGACTTAAATTCATTTTTTGATTTTACATTACTTCAATTTAGTCCCAGACCAAAATGGGATATAAATAAGTATTGTGATCTTGAATTACAAGAAGGACCTTTGATTACCATGGAGTCTGTACCGCCCCTTTCAAAAGGGGTTTGAAATTTCTTCCTTAAGAAAAAAATTAAAATGCTTCTTTTAAAAGAAGTGCCAATAATTGTTGCTTTGAAAAGAAAAAAAGAAGTATAAGAAGCTACTGAGCTCTTTGTCATTGCATGGGTAATGATACACTTAGCTAGCTTTCTAAAAGATAAAAAGCTGCTTCAATTACACAGGCAGTATCTTTGGAATTTAATTTTTTCTTGGCATTTTTTTAGTGAAAGCTCTAGACCTTTTAGACTTCTACAGTAGTTAATGAAGAGCTGAAATGGTTTGAGTTTTCTTACCACTATTTCAGGGGTGAAATTTAAACTGTAACCTGAATACACCAGCATTTAAGGTGAATGAAATTTTGGGAGATCAACTCTTATATTCATATTTTAGCATGCAATCACTGAGACAGTGCAAAGAGCAAGAGGAGAATCATTCAGAAATTCAAAACTGTAAGGACACCCACTTACATTTTTGTTTTTTCGGAATAATGTTTTGGCTTCATTTTTAATGTACTCTTTCTCTTTAATAGTTTCTTCTATCTGTCCTGATGCCGATTGCCATTTTTTGGCTATTCGGAATATCTTGCGGTAAAGGCCAAGAACTTCTTGTCGAGTAACTGGTGTCATCTAAAAAAACAACACAAAACCCCAAACATACGCGTGAACATTTGAGTTGCTAAAAGGCCAGCAAGCAGTACAGTTTTTCACACAATTGAATAGGTTTAAAAATATTTCCACCATCTAAAGATATGCTGAGCTATACGAAAAGAACTGAAATAGCTGTAAACAATAATTAGCTGTTGAAAGCTGAAGACCCAGTCCAGCAAAGTGTTTAAACTGATACTTAAATCTGTCTCCATTCAAACTTGCTCAAAGTTAAGCACTTGCTTTAGTGCTTTGCTGAATAACAAGCCTGGTACAAGAATGCTTGGGTTGTGTTTCACTGCTATTTTGCAACAGACATTGGGCAAGTCACCGAAACTCTGAGTGCCCCCCTTCCTGTGAAATTGTCATACCAATGCTGACCCTATCTTTGCAAAGCATCTTGAAATCTGTGAATAAAATACATGATAAAACCACCACGATATCGCTAAAAACCAGTATAGGTTTCAGAGGCTGAGCAGCTTATTTGCGATACCATGACAGTATGTAGTAATGATTCAGCTGGAGTTTGATGTGATGAAAAGGTGATGAAAGCTATTTTATCTAAGCACTGCAGGAGAGGCAGACTAACTTTGGATTTAGGAAAGTCCTGAATGTCTTGATTTTCAGAGAGCTGTGTCCACTGAATCAGCCTCCAGGTGCGGTAAGAATCTTTGTCAGAAATCAAGAATGAAATCCTATTCTTCCTCTATGTACATGAGTATTTTATCGTGTAAGTGGTGCCACTATTTCATCCCAGACCACAGCTATCCCTGAGACAAATGCACTGCTGGAATAACAGCACTTCAGACATGGATTAGATTCGCAGAAACAAGACTTGCACTTTAGGGACACTGTAACTGTCGAAGGTCCCTTACTGTCCAAAAGGAAGATGCAGCAGCACTGCAAAGTAAGTACACGGATGCAATGAGGAACAAGTGTCAGGGACAGGACGTTATCTGACTGTCTCAGGATCCATTTGCCAACCTGGAGCTCTAGTTAGTGTGGCTGAATCTACCCTGAGATCAGACCTGTGCGGTGGGAATAGCTCCTCCGGAGGACAATTTGGAGCAGGGTAATTCAGACAGCCTGACCTGCCCTCTGGAGGGAGCACTCTCTCCCTCAACGATAGAGGAAAAGCTGCTTCCTGAAGCATGCACCCAAACTACTGCGGAAAGATTGGCGATGTGGCTATCGCTCATGTCCTTGCAGCCTGTGGCAATTCCTGTCATGCCTGAGTAGTAGAAGAGGGTTTTGAACCAAAGTCTTCTCACGCCATACAGTTCTCAAGTGGCTGCCTCCACCACAGCAGCTGGCCTCCACTGATATTTCAGTATGGTTCTCCTGGGGCTTCAGACAGTCACACCGTCTTTCCCTCACCAAGTCGAATTACAGATGTTAACCTGTAGACAGGATTTGGCCCATAGTTCTTTTTGCTAAAAAATCCCAAACTATTAAATCCTAGCCTTTTTTGTCTTAACTGTTGCAATGAGCTAAAGACTTTTTGTTGTTTCATGAATTCTATTAGGGATCTTGAGAAGTACAGACATAAACCCATTTTTCTATGATTCTTGAGAGAACATTTTTATTTTGCTATTTGTATTTTAAAATGTTTAACCAATCATATGTTTTTCCCCCAGATATAAAAATGATTCTTCCTACCCAGGAGAAAGTATTTCTAGTAAATGTTTATGGTATTTCTAGGAAACAAATATCCACAATAAAATAGCTAGGTAGTCCCAGCTCATCAAACACTTTGGAATAGATTCTTCACTTTATCCACTCTACAGCTCCATTTCAGGCAATAAAATTACAGCTCCATTTCAGGCAATAAAATTAGTCATACATGAAGCTACGCATGTACGTGTATCTGAAAAATCATCGCTTCCCTCTGTTGAGTGCATATTTTGTACAGAAAATAAACAGTTCAATTACAAGGGCTGACCTAGCACAAGCTGAGTCCCAGATCATGTCCACACCTAGAGCCCCTCCTGGCCTCACCCCTCTGCTTTTATTTGAAGGTGTCACCTCTGGTGGAGCTGGTAATACTCTTTGTTCCCTGCTGACAGCTAATAAAAGGTAGTACTGCACTAGAAGCTTTCAGCTTAGGTTTTCGTGTAATCCATAAAGAAAATAAAAGGAATAATGTCAGGGGAAAAATGTTTAAAATACAGGTTTAAATTCTGATCTGCACATCAGACAATTTCTAAGGCCACAACTTGGGACGGTGCATGCCCTTCGCTCAGTGCTGTAATTACACCTGTCGCTTTTGGATTTTAAACATACCAAGAATCTGTTAGTAAAGATTTTGTTTAAAAGCTTAGAACCAACAGTTTATTTTTTTCCCCACTAGTTGCTTCTGCTCCCCCACCTAGAATTTTTTTTTTTCCCTTTTATTTCTCGGTGTTGGAATCGATACAGAATTGTGTAGCCCCTCATCTAGGCACGGGCTGCACTTTTGCATTATTGCTCTGCTTCCCATATATGCTAGGTGCTGTAAAAGACATTAAGCAGCTTTTCATATATACTCAGCAACCAGCTGCTCCCATGGCTCATTTAGTCAACAATTTGTAACATTACAGACCTGCTCATAAACCTTTTCTGCAAAGATACATAAATGAAGGTGTGAGGAGCCCTTCACAGACAGAGGACCCCCATCTATCACAGGAAAGGATGAGAGCAAATGCGACAAAATTCAAAGCCCGGATCAGGTTCTGATCTGAGTGGGAGTGTAAATAGGGAATAATTTCACCGAGAGCAAAATTACTTCTAACTTAAAATGTTGTAAATGAGATAGGAATTTTTTTCTTTGGTATAAACAGAGCCCACACCGACAGAAATGTAAGTGATGGTACAAGTCATGTATCAGGTGTAATTTCGTCAAGTGACACTACTTGTATTAGTTTTGTGGGTGTGCAAAATGATTCTGAGTGGGACAGAAAGAAAGATAAGGGAGGCTTTCACGTCCTTGTAGTTACTCATCTTGCAACTTACATCTTTGGCATTTAAATCATAATTATATTTCACATCTCTGGAATGCTAAGTGGATGTTACACCACTTTCCCACTAACACTCATCTTGTGGTAGTCACACCCATTGTTTAACTTCTACCACCCTTCAATTCATTGCAGAATGCAGCCCACAGAGGTTAACCACAGGCGTTTTTGTCAAAAAGTACAGGGCTATTGTATTAGCTGAGCAAATTTCAGGTGTTTACTGCAACAAAACAAACCGGGAGAGGTCAAAGGTAGGTCTGTACGCACAAACGTATCAATGGGAAAAGTGGTAGGTTGCAGGCTGGTTTTGAGCTGATTGTTAGAATTGAGCCTTTGGAGGGAAGCCAAGCGTCGCCTTCCAAATAAGCATTTGCTGGATGCTGTGGCAGAGTTCTGACAATGCAGGGTTGTATTGTTCTTTTGATCTACATGCAAACCCGTTATCAACATGCAGATCAAGCACACGAAATATCCCATTGTATCCAAGCTTGCGGAGGGGGCTTGAGCAGTTAAGGAGTTACTGCATGATGAAGACACAAACTTTTTTCATTAATTAAAACAAATAATTCTCTAGACTATAAAATGTAATAACGCGTTTTTCTTTCAGGAAACAAATACACATTCCTTTGGATTTTTAGATGGTTGACCCAAAAGTTCCATAATCTGAATAAGCAGTGAAACATCAGTCGTCTTTTGCTATTTGCAGGTTTGTTTAGAATTCAAATTGCAAGTTTATAAAAAAATAAGGAAAGGAATCTGTCAGCTGCACTGTAAAGTGACCCCAATAGTGCACTGTCAAAGCAAAGTTAGGACAGAAGGCAAGCTGCTTGGAGACTGACTACTGTATAGCTAAATTACAGCTGCTTCCCGGCGAGGGATGCTTGGCTAAGAACGCGTGTGCAGCACTCCCCTATCTGCACAGCTCCTTTGCTGAAGTTGTAAGTCTATTTTATTTCATCCTTTCTTTTCAAGTCAAGCATTAGCTACTCACTTTAAACATAAAATCTGCCAGCAGCGAGTACATAGAGGATTTTAGGAAACAAAGGGTGAAAGTAATAGCCCATGGGGAAAAAAGGATATTTTACAACAGTAGATCTCTTCTCTTACATCCCAGCTAACTAGGGCACGCATCAGTAACACACACTTAGTGCTGATGCTGAAACCGTATTTGCTCAGGGGAGGAGGAAATCGTGGGGAACAGAACTCCGCATGAAATAATTTGAAAAAGCGGCTTTCAGCTTCTCAGATGTAAAATGTTTTATTTAGGAGCAACACAACTTCTATTTGACAGCTGGTTTGCTACTGGCAAGGAGTCCTAAAAACACAATGACAAACTGCTGGGCTCATTGCCTTCTGAATCAAGCTATGATCACATTTCTGTTATGGAAATAAATGACATAATTCAGAAGTGTAGTGTATCAACATTATAGTACGGAACATCATCAGCTACAGCCTGTATGACAATCTATATATTTTCAAATGCACACTTTGGCTAACGTTTATTTAAAGAGATGCAAAAAATTGCACATATCTGGCTTTTGTTTTTTAAAGAGCTAAATTATCCACTTAGCTAAAGAGTGACCTGCAGCCTGCCTCCTGCTGCTAATGCAACAGATAATCAATCATTCCTTTCACAGCTATCCACAGCAACTAGAGGTCAGTAATCCATATTCATCTTTCGTGCAAGTCTGCCAAAATGAGTCTGCAGTTCTTAAGGCAGCAATTCATTTGGTCTATCATTTCCTTGAGGGACAACAACTGAAACAATGTGTTCCTGTGGCACAGGGAGAAGAGAGGGGGGTCACAGATTCCTGTGATAGCTGGGCAGCTCATATGCCTTCCAGTGATATTAAATTTCAAAATCCAGTTTCCACAAAAGTAATTTTATCTTCTTTGACTTAAATCAACGACTTCGTGGCCTGTGACAGCTAGTACCCTGCAAACATCGACCATGTGAGGCTGCAGTATGTACCTAGCAAAGTGAAAACTTCATTTGATTTTCATTCTTGATTGAACATTCATACATTTTTTTAAAGATTCAGCCAAACCCAAATCACAGCAAAACTTCAATCACAGCTAAAATATTCCATCTCCACATGGTGAAAAATAAACTAAAATGAAAGATTGTATTCTTCCATGATGGTGTTACATCCTCATTTCTACCAGTGACGCAGGCCTGTAAATTACAGGCCTGTAAGACATTTCCATCAAGGATTAATTTTACTCCAAGTTCTTCTCATTGTTTCCATAAACAAGCTGCAATCATAAATCTATGCAGATTTGGTGAAAAAGAACCAAGTTACTGAATGAAGTTATTCAGTAACGATATCTGAAAGCAAGGTGATTTTCACATGGTTTCAGATTTTGTCATGCTAGTATCTTTCTGCTGGCAAACTGAAGGGATCTGAAACCCTGATCTGAAACACCAATCGACACCTCTGAACCAGCCTAAGTCTTTGTACTTACACTGTTCATCAGCTGGGATGAGAACTCTGTCATTCTATTTGTGCCTCGGATTTCTGACTGAACTTGGATCTCTTTTAAGCTTTCTCTTACATATGGAGTGGTCTTTTGATCAGAAAAAGGAAACTGCATGCAAAGAGGATATAATTAAATAGTAAAAGCAAGGACTTGGATTTTATCACTGGTTTTCCTATGTAGTTTCAAATAAATGAAATTGCAGAAAATTTTAGGATTCTACAACATTCTCTTCATTTGAATAAATGAAAGTGGAAACCCTTAACTAGTCCCTTTTGATCACAGAGTTTTCATTTCTTAGTCTGAGGTGGTCGAGGCATTATCTGGTTTTAGTAGGACATACAGACTCTTGCCCTGGGAGTGCCTCCTGTGCCGTAGTAGCCTCAGGAAGAACAGAAATGCTGACTTAGACTGTGGAGAGGGCAAGGGGAAGCAAAATACTGCTTTACATATTTCTTAGCTTTCTCCTGAAAAGCACGCGGTGTCCAGGTAAACTCTAAAGCAATATGAACTTGTCTCTGGTCTTGTGCAACCCTGTCACTCATGCTTTCATACCATTTTCTCCTCCTTTGTGTTTAGTTCTCCATTAGTTACAAGCAGAGGAAGAGGGTTTAATGCAGTGCAACAAATCTAGCAGAGAAAATGAAGTCTCGGCTATCCTTGGATGGCCTTACTTATATAATATAGAAGCATACAGAAATATAACAACATGGACACAAAACCCAGTATGGATTTATGCACCTTATTCATACCTTGGCTTCAAGCCAAATCCAACTGAATGCGTGAAGAGAAATATTTCTCAGCATTGGAACCGCTCCCAAACTCGAGAACAGGTATAAATATTAATGCTAGCAGAGAAACAATCCTCCCTAACCCCTTTCTTTCTTCATTCCGTGGGTCATTTAATAAAACTCATTTCATGAGCCCTCTGCTTCAGTTTCCAAACACTTTGGTCCCAGGACATCGATAGATATGATTTTTAGTCACTATTTGAGAACTATAGCAAGGCATATATCGAAAAAAGATTTGTTTTTTGGAAATCGAGTGTGTGAATCCCATTCAAATTTGGGAGTTTCAGAACAAAGCCTCAGGCAGTATTTGCGCTAGACTCTCCTGAATGGTGTGTGGATCAGCCTTTGGGGCCTCCTGCCTCACAGACAGCACATGGGGAG